ACACAAACAGCTACATCCATGAGGTCTGTGGCTTCAAAGGCTCTTTGAGTTCCACTTGCCTCCAATGGCACTGCTGAGTGGAGCAGGCTGTCAGGCTGCATAGAAACCCACAAGTGAAGCTCCAGGCAATGGGAGGTCGGGGGAGGTTGCAGAGTGTGAGCTCCAGAGCCAGACCCAGGGTACAATACAGTGCCACATGCCCTCCCTCTGCCTAGGGTGCCTTGCTTGTCACAACAGTACCCACTGGGGGTGGGGGTGTCATTAAGATCAAATGAGTCCATCCATGTAGTGTGTTTAGACAATGCCTGGTATTGGCTAAGTGTTAAATAGGTTAGCCATTGAACTGTACGTGGTCTTGAAAACTGGGTCCTGACTACAGATAGGGCTAGCAAAGCACAGGAAGAACAGATAAATTTTGCCTGGCATAAATATATAAAGTGCCGCAGTCCGGCTGCAGCAAAATAACTGGGGGGTGACAAGCAACTTGTGTAGATTGATACAGCAAGAGTGGGAGCCGTTTATTGTAGGACAGGAGCGGTATATATACATTCCACACAGCTTATCTTAATTAACATAAGCTCAATACAGCAGTCAACCAATAAGGAATCTCCACACTTAATGGCTCGCTGGCAAAATACTTCACAAACCACTCCCTCTGGCAAAATACCAGGCGCCATCCTGACTTGTTTACAGACCCTAACAATAAAGGACTTCTTTTATACCTAATTTCCATTTAGTTTAGTCACCACCACTTTTGTATACTGTAAGTTCCAAAGGTCCTAGCCTGGGGCTTAAACTTTGTTTAGTGTTAGCACAAGGCCTATGCTCGCAAGTTCTATTCTACCAACAGTAAAAAGCCCAACTTTCCAGAGACTCAAATTCCTTACTGCCAAAGTTTCTGCCTTCTCCAAAATTGTTTTGTGTTTACCCAACAAACCTTTAAAATCACATTCGCAGACCCTAAGCATTGCTGACAATCTGGTAAGACCAAGTAAGATTCTGCACGTGGGCAGTTTGTCATCCTCTCTGCACACAATACGTATTGTGGAATGTATTTCTGAACTGCTCAGGCACATTCTCCAGCCTTGCTGAGCTCAGCATGGCTCATACTCCAATCTTTCTTCATGGGTGGAGGCTTGGCTGGGCCTTGGCTCACATGTGAAAATCAGGGATGACATTGGACACTGTGTATCTAACAGGTCTGAGACCAGGACTTAGGCATGGTGATTTTTCTGCAGAGCCTAGATTTCTGGATTTGGGACTGTTAAGCTCCTGATAGAAACTTGTTGTCCAGTCATTTTTCCCTACCATTTAAAAATTTAGAACAGAAAAATAACTAACGACAGTCTCCCAACTAAGACAGGCTCCCTTTTACTATGGGCCAGGCCAAGGAAGGAATGCAGAGAATGTGGAGCAGAGAATGCGGAAGAAGCCAAAGGCAGTCCCAGAAGGATTTTCTGCCTTTGGCTGTGGGCTCCTAATCTCATTCCTCCTGTCAGCCTGAGGGACAGGTGCCACTCAGAATCCCAACCCCCAAATGGATGCTGGGGTCAAAAAGGGGTCTAAATAGTTTCAAAAGAAAATATCAAGGGGTGACTTTCACTATAAAATTATAGCTCAATATACATGACTTAAAAAAAAAGTAAACAGAATTTATAAAAAGACCTGAAGGACTTATTAAAATTAGAACATCTCATTTGCATTTGGGATGCTCCTTCTACTTAGAATGAGGGAAATGAATGGCTGGTTATCTGAAAGAACAACACATTTACGTTGACAGGGACCATGATGGAGCTCTGGGCAGGAATCGGCAGTCAACTGCAGTGGCAGCTATGGAGGATGGGAAGGGCAGTGGAAACCACCAGGGGTGCTGAGAAGCAGCAAGCCATGGCCACCTTTAGAACTGGAGCCCGAGGACAGGAGCTCACCCAAGTCCCAGGGGAGCACAACTCAAAATGCTGCCTGGAGCAGGGAGCAGTGGAGAAATGCCCAGAGCCAGCCAAGAGAAGCCAGGGCTTACCTAGAGAAGTCTCCAGGAGAGAGGGCGGAAAACCTTCTTTGGTTTCCTATAAAACAGAGACCATGGTGCCCACTGTTGCCTACCATGAGGTGGAGAGAGATGGTGCATCACAGTTTCTCCTGTGATGGCAGGAGAACCCACCTGAGTTTAGGGAAAGGAAGAAACCAAGGTGCTTGCTTATTATGGAAATAATAATGCTTCTCCCTTTGCCATTTCCTGGTATGGGCAGTGTGGATTTCCCAGAGCAACACAACCATCCAGCACCACTCATTCCCTAAGCATCCACCACAGAGCACTCCCCCACCTTTCTATTTCAGAAGCTGGTCCCAGGGCAGGAAGCATCTAAATTCTCCTTCCTCCAGTAGATCCCAACTAGAGTCACCTTGACAGTTTCTTGGAGAACACAGAATCAAGTTCTGCCTGGTGGTGCATCCCTGTAATCCCAGTAGCTTGAAAGGCTGAGGCAGGAGGATCACAAGTTCAAAGGCAGCCTCAGCAAAAGCAAGGCACTAAGCAACTTAATGAGACCCTGTCTCTAAATAAAATACAAAGTAGGGCTGGGGATGTGGCTCAGTGGTCGAGTGCCCCTGAGTTCAATTCCCAGTACTTACCCTCTTCCCCCCCTAAAAAAAGTTCTGGAGAAAATAAAGTAGCAAAAATAGTGGAAGAGGCATGATTCCCATTGGATGATGCTGTTTATTGAAAGGAAATCTTACATGGAGGTAGCCACAATAAGAACATCTCTTCCCCATGACAACAAAAAGCAACCAAACCATACCCGAAAGCAGAAAACCAACAGAATAAGCCAATTGGCATGATAGAAGGACACTTCAAAGCAGGGAAAAATATAATAGATATATGGTGATTGTCTCAACATTGCATTTGGCCACGTATTTGTTTTTACATAAAACATTTTCTTCAAGCTAGCTAAAGAAAACTCTTGAGCAGGGTTAGTTTTTAAAGCAATAGACAAAAAAATATGTATATATAATAAAATCAAATAATGATAGCATATTCACACTAGGAAGGACCTGGGTCTAATCGTCATCTTGTCCCAGGCAGCACCCTGTTAAGGTCATGGGTAATGAGATGAGCTGGGACTTGAAAAAAAAAAAACCTCCCTAAATCTCAGTCCAGTCAATCCCTTCCAGTAGCTTCCCAACCTGCTGTATTGCATGCCAACTCCATTACAGCTTAGGAATGTGCAATCATTCACAGGTTTAGAGGCCTCTTATCTGGGTGGTAATGTGTGTGTTTGGAATGGTGGCTTTGCTTCTCTTGAGGAGCACTTTTGCTTCTTGTTGCCAGCCTCACAGCTACCAGAAAGAATTAACCAGAATGAGGAGCAAATCAGATGCTCCCTCCCGAAGTCCTCAGGTGTGCTGTCTGGAGTTCAGAGTAGGCCAAGGCATTTCTGGGCAGGCTCATTGGCAAATGGATAGTAATGCAGCAGAGAAAGGAAGACCCCTCCCAGTGTGACTTCAGACTAGTCACGTTCCCCAAGAAGACAGAGGGATGTGGGGTTGGGCATGGAGGTGCTCAGCCCTGTGTCAGCTTGATTATTCTCTATCGCCCTCTTCCTTGAACTCCAGGAGGGGAGGAGTTCTCGTCACTGCTGAGGTCCCAGGGCCAAGGACTGCACCTGATGTATCACAAGTGCCCAGGACGTACTTGCTAAATGGGTTAATGGCTAAAAGGAAGAATCTGTCCATACCCAGAGGGTAAGCAGAGGCAAGAACCACCCCCAGCCATGGTGAGGGGACAGTAACCCTGGAGGTGGAGAAGGGCTTGGTTCTCTGGCTCCAGACACTCATCCTTCAACTGGGCCCATCACTCTGAACCCTGCTGAGTGGGCTCCGTGACTTGCCCCAGACCTCACCCATTCCCTGTCACTGCTTGCAGGAGGGTGAAAGAAGACCTCAGTTTGCATATCATGCCATTCTTTCCTCCCTCCTTGACATCCATCTGAGCTCCAGCTCAACCTACCTCTTGTCTACACATGCCCCAGCTTTCAAGAACTTCTGTCTTCCTCACACTAATCCCACACACACAACCCATCTCCCCCTTCCTCCATCACTTAACCAGCCCTGTCCTGTCACTGAAGCCCAGGAACCCTGTCTCCCTGTGCCCTGCTATTTTCCCCATCCCAGGCCCAAGGGCAGTGGGGGGAGGAAGGAGACATGACATCGGGGCCCCATCCTTACAGAAATCACACCACTTGTTAAAAACCCTGCATACAAGTCTCCCCTCCCCACCTGTATAAAAGAAAGTGGTGACTGGGCACTGGTCTTAGCATGGTTCAGAAACTATAATTTTAGGTAAAATAAGTAGCCAAGGTCATAGATACAGCCTACAGGTAAGCGACCTTCTGTCAGCAAGCTGTTTACCCAGATCACCTGAATACCGACTCACAGTACTGATTATCCACTGTCACTATGTCAATTCCTTTTGTCCAACTCTGATTTTAAAAGTGGTCTTCATTCTCCGTCCTCTCTCTACTCTTTAACACTTAAAATCTAGTAGCTTCATATTTTAAGAAAGAATACTCAATATAGTGTGTGAACTTCACAAATTAGCCACCCTACAAAGGCTCTGGCATATTCCAAAATGGAACAGCAGCAGTCTGTGAGAAGGTCTGGTTAAAATATGTACAGTCTACATGTCACTTCCTTATCCGCACAGTGACTGTTAATAATAACTAGCATTTCGGACCCTTTCTCTTGGCAAAGGAGAGGAGGGCAGAAGCAGCCAATGAAAGTGGCCATGGAAAACGGCTGTGCAGAACGGGGCCTTCAGCCTATCAAATTAAATTTTTGAAAATGCCCCATTGGGTGCTGGCTTCTCTTCCTTGTTTTAAATTGCAATAGCTCCATAAGATTCAAGAGCCACTGGACCTCAGAGAGACCCTAGGGAGGAATATAAGGTTGAGGAACCAGCATGTGGTGTGAAAAGGAAGTGGTGGGTCTCAGCTCGAGACACACTTCCTTCTGCTTTGGATGGCTGCAGTGTCCGTTAGGAAGGATGGGCCACTTCAGCCCTGGACGTGGACTCAGATCTGGCTGGTGGCGGTGCTGTCCTTGGGAAGGGAGTAGCTCAGTGGTGCCTCATAGAGGCTTCCCCCATCGGTGCTGAGGTCGTCATCGTCGTCCATGTCATCCAGCACTTTACTGGGCAGCTTCTTAAGTCTGCTGAAACAATAAGGGGCATGTTTCCTGGCCCTGGCTAGGGCTTATCTCTAACTTGGAGATGGAAGAAGATCTTGAGTTCCCTGTTCTCCCCAGACCGGCACATGAACTGCTCTGCACCTCAGTTCCTCCAGGTAACAAACTACCCACTGCCCACCTTTCACTACCAGAATTGATGTTGGAAGGCTGGGCCAGGATCAGTAGTATTGGTTCTTCCTTTGGTGCAAACTCCAACATGGCTTGGCAGGCACTGTTTTCGACCCTGTCTTAATATTTTAAAATTTTCATACCTTATTCGTCAGATTATATGCAATATTTTTTTTTTCAAATGTTGCATTAAAATGTTATTTTGATTCCTTAAATGTTGCACCCTAATGCTGACCTTAGGGCCAGTTTCCTAATGAAGATGCCCTGTGTTATAGGATTCTAAATGGGCTAAAGCCCTTCTGTCCATTTATGAGAACTACCTGGGCAACTGGCACAGAGCCCCCCAGGCATGGCCAGTCTCCAAGACAGGCTAACTCTATAGATAAGCATGAACCTAACCTCAACCCTCCCCTCAATGCCCTAGGCACTGATTCTGTGGTAGGGAAAGCAACCATCCTGCCCCATCTATCCTCATCATTAGAACTTCAGGAGAGGAGCTTGGGAGATCCCAGTCTTCCATGAGATAAACAGGCTAGGCCAAGAATTGTCCCTCCATGTTGGTGAGAGCTAGTCTGACCTCTGAGCCTCAGTTTCCCTTTATGGTCAACAGGACTATGACACTGAAGCACTGATGTAAGGATGACATATGAGACCTTACTGAATATGTGGAATGACAAATTAGACAAAATGACTTTCATTTCTAGGATGGGAAGACCCCAAAAGGCAACAATAAGGAAATGGCTTGGGACAACAGGAATGGGGATGTTGTGAAAGCGTCAAGAGCTCCTCAAACATGGGAGGGGGGGCAACACAGACCACCACTTTTACCCACCTTAAGTCCTTCTTCATGGAATTGAGCTGCCCCTGCAGCTGCTCGTTCACATCTATCTGCTCCTCCAGCTCCCTCTGCAGCTTCTTCTTAGAACTTTCCAGTCTGTCGATTTCCTCCTCAGCCTCCTCTACCTGTCGCTTCATTGCTTTCAGGCGCAAGCTCAGCTGCATTGGGAGAGAGGGCAGGTTGAATGCTGGCTGAAGGCCCAACCCAGCTAGGACATAGAAGAGGTCCGGTAGGAGATGCCAGGGGCCCAGACACCTCCTCCTCGGGCAACCAGTCTCATGGAAAAAGAGCATCCTTGCTGAGGACCAAGTTTAGGGTTTAAAGTTTACAGAGATCCCCTACTTCGGTAGGCTTTAAGTCTCTATTCTGCGATGTAAGTCAAGAGGAGGACTCGGCCCCACTCACTCCAGGCATCTGGCCTCCTCCTGCTTCCCCTGCCTCAGACACAGGATCTCACCTGAGAACAAGAGGTGCCCTCACCTGGTCCTTCTGATCGGTCAGCGACAGATGCTCATCGTCCACCTGCATCACCAGCTCCTTCACTTTCCGCTCCAGCCTTCGGTTGCTGAGCTGTAGGTTGGCCCGGTCCCTGGAAGAGCAGGGGAGGCAGAACTGAGCACCCCTCATTCTCAGCCCTGTAGGAAGCCCAGGCTGCAGAGGAGGGGACACTCTCACCAGGGGAGCTTAGGGTTGAGCTTGAGGTTGGGGAAGTAGACAATTATACAGGACCACTCTTTTTGACAAAGAAATGAGATTATGAGAAAGGGCATGATTTGTCAAAGGTGGCAAGGCCAGGGAAGGGCTGGAATGGCCTGTCCCAAGTTCTTCCACTCCTGAGCACTTAACTCTTTATTTATTTATTTATTTATAGTTGTAGATGGACACAATAATTTAATTTATTTATTTATATGTGGTTCTGAGGATCGAACCCAGTGCCTCACACGTGTTAGCCAAGTGTTGAGCCACAACCCCAGCTCCCCTGAGCACTTAACTTTGTAAGGCAAAGAGTTACAGACTGCTGGCATTTGGGGTCCACTCCGGGCTGCTCCCTAAAAGTCCTCCTAAAGAAGCACATACATATGCATGTGTACTGCACCCCTTCTAGGAAAGTGAGGGGCCGTGAGGAAAACTAAGGCTGGCCAAGTGCATCCTGGTGCTGGTCCTCAGCCTGTGAATGAGAGCTGCAGAGAATTATGGCAACCTGATCTCACATCCCTCATCTCTGCTTGGATGCACCTGGTCCTCAGGGCAGAGTTAGCCCCCTGATCTCTAATCTGACTCAAATTCAGTTGCTGTGAGGCAAGCTGTTTTATTGAAGGGATAGAGAGAGAAACAGTAAGCATAGTGGAAAAGCTATGGTCCTAGGAACCGAGATATAAGTCTTGGTCCAGCTAGCTATGTGACTCAAGTCACTTACTCTGATGGGTCAGCTTTCTCACCCATAAAATGGAAACAATAACAGCAAAGTTGTACTTGCTCTATTTGGACTAATGAGGATGGGAAGAGATACCTGGCATGAAAGCACTCTAATGGGATGACCATGGCCCACCAGGGCCTCTGCCCCACCCTGTACCAGGCTCACCTCTCCTCACTCTCCAGACGGTCCTCCAGTTCTGCAATCCTGGCCTCCATTTGCACCACCAGCCCTTCTTTACTGGACCTGTAGGAACCTTCCAGATGGATAATCCGACTCTTTAAGTCCTTGTTCTGGAATCAGACAGGGAGATTGTGAGGGCTGTGTGTGTGCCATGCTCTCTGAGCAAAGCAGAATATGAGATGAAGCCAAGTATTTGGGTGATGTCCATGCTAGCACACACTGGGATACAGGACCTGGGGAGCCCAGAGATGGTTGCAGAGAATACCCTTGACCTTGGGTTTTAGATGGTCAAAGAAAGAGACTATAATATCCCCCTTATGAGCCTGAAAGGAGTTGTATGGCAGGTCCTTGGACTCCCAAGTCTCACACAGCTTGGGCTTGTCCTTTTACAAAACTCTGGGGATGGGCAGGTGTCCTACCCCAAAGCCATGCAATGGGAGGTAGAAGCCCCTGGGGCCAGCTGCCCTCACCTGTCTCTCCAGGGAAATCTTGTCACACTCCAAGTCTTGCCTCACAGCTCTCTCCTGAAGTAGCTCATTCCTCATCTGCTCCATCTATAACAAGCAGAACAAAAGCCGAGAGGTTAAAGAAATGGTCCTACAAACTCTGTATTGAAATGGTTCCCAGGTGCTGAATTCCATCAACCAAGTCAAGTCTCTTCATGAAGAAGGCTGACTTAGAGGGGACCCCGCATGATGTCTGCTCTTGGACACAGCATCTATTTCTTATGTGTTCTTGGCTTTCCAAATTGTGAGGATAGTTATATGAATAACAATAACCATCATAGCTAACCCAGCTGTTATAGGCTGAATTGTCTCCCCCAAAAGATATGCTAACACTGTACCCCTTGCTAGTTCTGATGTGACCTTAATTGGAAAGAGGGTTTTTTGCAGAAGTGATCAGGTTAAAAAGAGACACTGAGGTAGGCCCTAATCCAGCATGACTGGTATCCTTATAAAAATTAGGGAGTCTGGATGCAAAGACAAATGTACACAGGGGGATGCCTGCCTTGTGAAGACAAAGATCCAGGGAGAATGCCCTCTGATGATGGATGACTGCAGTGACAGATCTATAGTCCAAGAAGTGTCAAAGATTGTCTGCAAAACACTGGAAACAAGGGAGGCAGCAAGGAAGGATTCCTGCAGGTCTGAGGCTCTGCCAACAGTTTGATTTCAGATTCAAGGCCTCTAGAACCATGAGACAATGCTTCTTTGTTCTAAGACACCAGATTGTTACAGTAGTCCTAGGAAACTTGATACACTCGCTTAGATTCCGTGACTGCACTATTATCCTGTGACATTCCCCCCAAAACCCTGAGAAACAGGTAATATTATCTCTACTGAGGACATTAGGGCTTGGGGAAGTTAATCACTTATAAGGGGATTAACTGCCAAGTATCCCTGGGACTGAGGATTTCTCGGGCACGGGACTTTCAATGCTAAGATTCGGGAAGTCCCAGGCAAACCAGGATTAATCACTTGACTTACCCATGATCTACAGAAGTGGCACTAGAGAGGAATGAGTATCCACCTGAGCTCCTGCACTGCATTACAAGGCCACACTTCAGAAAGGGCTTCCTTTCTCATTCCAGAAAGGGAAGTCAGAACCTGGGGCAGCTCCAGGCCCAGACTAAAGGCTGTGAAGTCATCTTCATATAGAGGTAGGAGAGGAGCCTCACCTAGCAGCACAGGCAAGAAAGCCTCTCTCCTGTCACCATCTCCTCTCTTAAGTGCCAGTGCACCTCCTCAGCAGGAGTGACACTGAATGTCAGAGCAGAGGTCCCAGAACTAACCAGCAGAGGGCACCCTGAAGAAGGCAGGAGAACTCAGGTGAGCCAGTACAATAAAATCACCCATTCCTTAAGGATGAGAAACACATTCCAGGGTCCAACATAAGAGAGGCAGATACACAGGGCCTGTGGAACATTTGAAATAGGATCACCTGGCCACAAGTTGAGTTTTTGCCATCTGTGCAAATACCCTAATGAGAAAGATAGACCTACCTTCCCCACCATCTCCCCCAGGGAGCAAGAACTGCAGATCATGGAAATGATAAGAGGAGACACCACCATATTGGGTCAGGCTTGCATTTGCTGCCTCATCCCCATTGTCCTGACCATGGCATGTGCACAGAAGGTGTGGCAACAAGGTGTGGCAAGGAAGAGGCTGGCAGGACAGGCAGGACCAGACATGGAGGCCTCAGATATCCCCACCCAAGGTCCCAGTTTCCTCCTAAGGTATCTTTATATTAAAACAAAAACAAAATTTCTACTTTTGAACTCCTGACTAGCAGCCTTCTAAGTCATGGGGGTTCTGAATTTTACGACAGACAAAACTGAGGCCCAGGGAGGTTATAGAAGCAGCTACACGAACCAGACTAGAACCCAGGACAAGCTGGTTCACCGTCCACTCCTTCACCTGTTCTGTCTCTCTGGAACAACTAAGTGAAAAGGATCCACACGGACCTAGAGTTCAAATACAACTATAACAAGCCAAGACACATGCAGGGGTGCCAAGGGGATGAACAGAGGTGTCCTGTGCTCAACTCAGCCACAGAGGAGAGTCAGAGCACAAAGGAAAAACAACATTGTGAGGAGAATGAGAGAGTGTGAACTCCATAAATTAGCAAAGACATAGTAGGGATCCTAAGTAGCACAAAAAAAATGGGAATGGCAACCCAGAGAAATGAATAAAGAAATTGAGACTGCAATCCTGTTCCCCTGCTGGTGGTTGGGAACCCAATACTGCTGACAAAAGGTAAGCTAGAAAATGCCATGAAACTTCATCATAGTGGTAGACTGGTTGTCCTAACTGCAGGAGAAATCACGGTTCTAGAAAGCTTTAAATGTAGTTTGGGGAGCTAACTGATTTAAAGTGACTCCACTGATCCAAAGAAGGTTCTCACTTTAGACTTCTCCCAATAGCCACTGCTAGATATAGTGGTAGGAGAGGAGCCTCAAATACCTAACCCTCCAGAAGCCTTGAGCTAGTGTGTGCCCCCCCTCACTGGGTAGAAGACAGGTTCCTCAGCATCATGCAGCTTCAATACCAGTGGCTGCCATCACTATAAGCCTAACTCCCACCCAAATTTGGCATGCAGGAAATAGGGAAGATCTTCTTTCCACAGCCTGGAAGACTTATAGAACACCTCCACAGCCCACAGACTTCAGACCACAGTCACTGGTACTCAAAGCCTCAGTAACACTTGATTGTCTCCGAGACCAAGAGAAGATAACACCTGGGTCCCACAGCTCCACAAAATCAGTGAACAGTGCTAAAAACCCCATTACCAACTGCAGTTGCTCCATGGGGCCATGGGAAGGTCCTCTTTGTGTTCCAAAACTTTATCCCAGTTTCCAGTGCCATAACCAAAGTACCCTTTGTGTTCATTGGAGGGACTGAGGAAAGGCTCCAGAACTCTCTTGCATTCATCCCAACAGTCCTGGGGAAGGTCTCCTTAACATCTGGTGGCACAGGAACCATGGCTGCTGGTGCAAAAACCCTTGGAGTCCCCTGTCCTTGTCCTGAGAGATATGGAGACAATCCTCTCCACAACCTACACCACTGAGACTGTAGCAGCTGCTGCCCCCAACCCCAGCACCATCAGGGCTCAACTCTGATACACACCTTTGGAAGCCTAAATCCACTGCAAAATCATACCACTGCCTTCAGGAACTGCTGCAGTTTAGACTGCTGAGGCACTAGATATGAAAGACAAGTCACACAGACTGTTTTTAAGTTCCCCTATAGCCAAACCACTTATCTAACTGAAAAACTATATGCTATCTAAATGAACAAAATCTTTTCCAACAAAAGCTACTTCATAAAATTGGGAGAAACAAACATTACACAAGATGTACAGACAGAGAAACATGGAAGGAAACATGACGCTTCCAAAAGACAACAATTCTCCATAAATTGATTTCAATTTGAAGAAAGTCAATAAATTGCAGCAGGAATTAATCTGTCTAAACAAAGTTCAGTTCCTGATGACTTCACTGTTTAATTCAATAAAACATTTATGGAACTGTTCTAATTCTTTTAAAATTATTCCAAAGAAAAATGAAAATGGACTAGGCAACAAACTAAAAATAAACAAAATGGGATTATATCAAACTAAGAAGCTTCTGCACAATAAAGGAAATAATCAATAGAATTAAGAGATAACCTACAGAATGGGAGAAAATATTTGCAAACTATTCATCCAACAAGGGTTTGAAATCCAGAACAAAGAACTCAAAAAAATTGAATCATTGTGTGTGTGTGTGTGTGTGTGTGTGTGTGTGTGTGTGTATATATAAAACATATACATCTCCAATTCAACAATGGGCTAAAAAAACCATAGATGCTTCTTAGAAGAAGATACAAATTCCCAACAAGTACCTAAAAATTAAAAAAAAAAAAACCTGCTCAGTCTCATTTATCACCAGAGAAATGCATAACAAAACTATAGCAAAATATCACCTCACCCAGTTAGCATAGCTATGAAACAAAATGCTGGCATATAAAAGAGGAATTCTTAAACAAATTTACATTCCCATCAACAGTGTATATCTATTATAGAAAACAGTGGAGCAAACCCTCAAAAAAATTATAATATACTCTAGCAATTCCAATATTGAGTGTATCCTAAAGAAGAAATTATTGCAACAAAAAGATATTTGGACTCACACATTTATTACAGCACTATTCACAGTAGCTAAAATAGAGAGTCACTCAAATGCCTTTAGTGGGTGAATGGATAAAGAAAACGTGGCATATTTAAACAATAGAATACTATTCAGCTATATATAAAAAAAGAATGAAATCCTGTCATTTATAACAACATGGATGGAACTGGAGGTCATTATGTTAAATTAAATAAGCCAGACACAGAACAACAAATCCCACATGTTCTCATACATTTGTGGAAACTACTAAGTCAAAATGGAGTAGAGGTCACCAGGTAAGGGAAGGAACTTCTATAAAAGACGCCAAAACAGAGAGGAGGAATTACTTCTGGTTCTTCTTCAGCACAGCACTAACTACAACAATATGAGATACTTAAAAACGACAAGGGGAGTATAGAAATCCCCCACATAACAATGATTAATGGTTGAAGAGCTGAAAATGCTTATGACCCCGATTGACTTCACATACTGTGTGTGTGTATTGAATGACCATAGTGTATCCAAAGGATGAAAAAATATGTCTCAAACCAAAATGATAATAAAAGAAAACACCCAGGGGCTGGGGGTGTAGCCCAGTAGTAGAGCACTTGCCTAGCATGTGTGAGGCACTGGGTTCGATTCTCAGCACCACATATAAATAAATGAATAAAATAAAAGTCTATCAACAACTAAAAAAAATTTAAAAAAAGAAAGAAAGAAAAAGAAAGCAGGGGAGGCCATCCAGTTTCCTTAGGGCATCTTGTAGAGAGCAAGGAAAAAATGCCAGCAATGCAAAGGCTCAGCAGGCAGATCCCGGAACACTCCGCCCCAGCCCCTCCATTCCACTTGCCCCCAGAGTCCTGAGAATCACATGTTGCAGAGAAAGCACTGGAACATTTCCTGTAA